TCCATGATTAACAATAAAATTACGAATATTTTCTACATCACTCACCAAATCAGCAATCCACTTACAATATGCATATTGTGGTGATTTTTCAGAAGGGTCACATATGCTTTTCAAAGCCAAATTTATACTATGTACCACACAAGGAATTCAAAAGATATGAGGATACCTTGTTTCAATGCTTAACCCAGCAGCTTTATTGTTGGCTGCATTGTTTTTTATGATTTGAACATTTGAGCTTCCAATTCACTTGATCGCATCAATAAACGTTGCTGCCACGTATTCTCCATCTTTTATATTGCCACTTGCATCAATTGCTTTAATAAACATGGCTCCACCTGCAGATGCTCCCATTACATTTATTAGAGGTCTCCTTTGTTTATCCAACCAACCATCTAAAACAATAGACACTCCCCATTTCCTCCATGAATCTCTAATAGGCCAACGTTTTCTATTGATGTGCTCCTTATCTTGTGCAAGCAATCTTGTACGCAATCTATTATAAGTTGGAGGGGTAGAACCAGCCAAGTNACCAGCCAAGCTACTATTGGCCAAAGCTCTACTAAACTGTTTGAAGTAAGGAGATTTTGCAAATTTGAAGGACAATGCACTGGCGATGAACATTCTGGCAACCTCTTTATCTGCCGTGTCCCTTTGCGCCATGTTGAATGTCTTTTCTAGAGGTTCAAGTTCTCTTTTTTTCTTTTCTGCTGTAGTAAATCAAAACCACTTGGTAATGAAACATATTCAGCCATTTTCCTTTCATGGACCTCATCTTGTAATTTTTTCCTCTCGACTTGCTCGTGTTCCCGCTTGATTGATTGATGAATGTTGTCCGTTATAACTTTACAACACTCAACTCCGTGATTTTAAAGTTTTAGCAAATGAGCCTTCACTTTAGTGTAAGATCCAGTCACTTTTTTATTGCAATAATTGCAACTCCAAGTCCGATTTCCACCCCCGCTTACTGCTGTGGTGAGTACCTTCACATGGTTCCATAGTGGCTTATCATCGAATTGATTTGCATGAAGATTTAATGGTCGTTGAGGTGTTTCTAGTGTAGAGTTAGATGGATTCATGTTTAAAAATTAGGAGAAAGCAAGATTCTGGAAATTGTTTACTGATGTTTGATTGAAGAGGAAGCAAGATTTTGGTCTCTGGAAATTTTTTTTTGGTGCAAATTTGAAAAGGAAGCAAGATTCTCTAAATTGTTTTCTGGTGCAAATTTGAAGAGGAAGCAAGATTCTGGTCTCTGGAAATTGTTTTCTGGTGCAAATTTGAAGAGGAAGCAAGATTCTGGAAATTTGAAGAGGAAGCTAATACGCCCACTTGCAATACCAAGAGTTCATCCATTAAAAAGAACATACAATCTGGTGCAAAAATAGTTAAAAAGAAATCAAAACATCAAAATTAGACACGTAAAGTGGCTGCTTGAATTCTGTACCATTTATTCAATTTTAATTTTGTTCAATTGTTAACCCTGATTAGTAAGTAAATATTATATAAATAATGTTTTGTTTTCCAATTGTAATTGTTAATAACAGTTAAACAGAAACTAAAATGTCAAAAATTATTCACGTAAATTGGCCAATACCATTTATTCAATTTTAATTTTGATTCACAATTTCAATTGTTAATCTTGATTAGTAAGTAAATATTATATAAATAATATTTTGTTTCCCAGTTTTAATTGTTAATGCTTGGTTAGTAATTAAATATTCTAGAATAAATGTTAGGTTATACGTATCAGATTGGCCAATTCGTTTTATCCGTATTATTTTATTCTATATTAAACAATTGTTCCCTCTTGATTGATTGACTAGACTCGTGCATAGGCGACAAGTTGATTGAGTTGTACGTAGAAGAAACAAGTGTTCCCTCTCGAGTTGTGTGATTGCAATCTAAAAAAAATAAGATCGACCATATACCATAGGCGACAAGTTGATCGGGTTGTACGTAGACGGAGGTTTAACTATTCACCAATCTTTTACTTTACGTTTTAAAGATTAGAATGAATTGGGGTCGATATGATTTAGGATCTTTATGTTCAAGGAGTTTTAACATGAAGTTGTGCGATCGCACTCCAAAAAGAATAAGATTGATTAACACCATGCGTAGGTGACAAGTTGATCGAGTTATGTGTAGACGGAGATTTGATTGCTCACCAATCTTTTTACTTTTAGAAATTAAATGAGTTGGGATCGATATGATTTAGTATTTTAATGGTTAAGGACGTTTAACGAGAAGCTATGTGATTGCATTCTAAAAAAAATAAGATCGACCATAGGCGACAAGTTGATCGAGTTGTACGTAGACGGAGGTTTGACTATTCACAAATCTTTTACTTTACTTTTAAGGATTAGAATAAGTTGTGGCCGATATGATTTATGATATTTATGGTTTAAGGACCTTTAACGTGAAGTTGTGCAATCACTCGTTAAATTCTTTTCAAAAGTCTCTTATTTGAATTCTCTTTGAATAGATTAACGATGTGCATATAAGGTGTTTGTGAAAATTTAAACATGAATATGTATTCAATTGATGCTTTACATTAAAAAAGTTGTCGTCACTTTTTGTTAAAAAAAATCACAAACTATCTCATTTGATTTCGTTTTTAATCTATTAAAGATATACATACAAGGTGTTTGAAAATTTAATTATGAATATGAATTCAAACTTTACTTTATATTAAAAAGTGACATGACGATACATTGTATTTGTTTTGTATATGAATATGAAGAATTACGAATGTCTATTTGATAATGATATGTCATGTCACTTTTGAATAATGTATATATGTCTATGGAGACAAATATAAAAACTAATATATTTATTTTATGTAAAGACAAATCCCATCTTATATAAAACAAATTTCAATATATTAAAATATATGTATACATGTCTTTTTTTTTCATATATGTATAAAATGGATATAGGCTACATTTGTACATTTTACGTATTAAATAATTTATATTGAGATATTCAATAATTCATATAAAGATGACTTTCAACATTTATTCTTCGCGTGTAATATATTTATCGTGAATGCCTTTTAAGCTTTCTAACATATTTAAATCACTCAAAATGGATAAGTTTAACTTGAATTATTGAATCAAACAAATTTAGAATTAAATATTAAATTAATCTTATCTTAAATAAAACAATAACTCACGTCACTTACAATAAATTATAAAATATGGTAGAGACAATTCCCAAAATTTGACAGTATAAATTGTCAACTTTTGAAACCACATAATTTCCTGAATAATTAACTTATTCATTTGGCTACACAAAAGCTCATTTAACACCCACTAAATCTAACTTATTCAGGGCTTGACAAAAGCCCATTTCACACCCCACTAAACCTACAATTCTCCATCTTCATCTTCTCCGTCTTCTGTAGAATTTCTCCGTCTTCTCCGTCTTCTGCAGAATTTCTCCTTTCTGCTGCCAAGCTCCTGTTAGCGTTTTCTTCTCCTTTATTCCCGTAACATCCTCCATCAATTTCTGCAAAATACTACCACGAGACTCGAAATAAATAGGCCTTCTCCCGTCGTCCACTGTTTTCCACGTCGTCCACTGTCTTCTCTGCTACCGTGTCCGAGTGCACGACCAAGTATCCGACCCATATCCCGTGTCAATATCCGTGTCATGTCGTATCGACACGGATACTTCTCCATTTTCGGAGAGTCCGAGCAACATAATTTGAAATCTCATAGATGCAGCAAACTACATGCTTGATTGCTTCTGATGCACGATAGAATAGAAGGCAGCAAGAAAGGGGGAAGAATCGGAGAGAAGGAGGGAGAAACCGGAGAAGAAATCACGAAAATGAGAGAAGTAGGGGGGGGGGGGGGAAACGTGGCAACAAGCCAAAACTTAATTTTCGTTCATTTCTCGTCTAACTCAACAACAATGAAAATATCCAATAAATAGTAAAAACCTAACATACTAGTGACGAGTTTGGTTTAACCCACTACTACAAGCTCAATAATAATAAAAACATAATTAATAAAAATCAACAATAAAATAGATCGTGATGTCCGCATCAGCTTCCTTCTCTCCATATGTCTTTCCTAGGGGCCTGTTTGGTAGGGATTCTAATTTTCTACAGTAAATCAATTCTCATTTTCAACCACACATTCTTCAATAAAATAATATTTTCCATCACATCAATAATTTTTTCTTCTTTTTCAACCACACATTTCCCATCATATCACTATTCAAAATCAATTCTTCCCCCAAAAAATCCCTACCAAACAAGCTCTAGATCTTTTTATTGCCAGTGTCAATGAATTTGAGTTAGAAAGTTTTTACTCTTTTTAAAAGCTGTTGCTGGATTAAATTGGGTCTATAATATTCCAAAGGAAAATGATGGTGTTTAATTAAGTGAAGATTAATTGGTAGTATTTTCTCTGTCATCATGTATGCGTATTAAGGATTCATTTTAAGGTGTTGTGTCAAGTTCTGTTTTGAATTTTCTTTGCAACTCGGTCCAGCTCTTGCATTTCAGAAACATGGGCAATTTTGTTTTTTCGTGTTTTAAAGTAAAGAAAGCACTATATTCTTCTTGGTTCTGTAGTTATAATTTTACAAATCATTTTCTTCTTTGGGCTTTCCCTGCTGTTATCACCTCCAACTTTGCTGACCTTTTCCATTTTGGAGGGCGTTGGAGATACCCCGGGGGAGGATTTGCTGCTTCATTTTCTCTTCAACCTTATAATGCCTATGAAATACTGCAGCCGGGAGATATTTATCTTCTTTAGACGAAATTTTGGGTGTTTAAAGCACTTCAATTTCCGAAAAGATAGAGTAGATCAAAGGTTGTGTTCTTTGAAGGAAAAAACTAGTTTTTACTTGTGTTCAGATATTAAGTCAATCTTTCTTGGTTATTTTAACATTGCATTTTCTTGATCAGGCATTTTGTTAGCATTGGAATTGGTTCTCAATCTTCTTTTAACTTTCCAGATACACGTGTACTTATATTGTTTCCAACTCTGCAGATTTTTGAAGGGTCTTCTCATGTTAACGTGAGTCATATAATTCATGATTTATCTTTTGGGCCGAAATATCCTGGAATTCACAACCCACTTGATGGGACACTGCGGATATTGCGTGGAGCAAGTGGTGCGTTCAAGTATTACATAAAGGTTTGAGTTTTGACCTGCCCATGCTAAAACTATCAGTAACATGTATGATGCTAAGCATGTCGGATGCACAAATATGAACTTTTCTTTGGCTGGATATAGATATTACTAAATATTCTTTTCTTGTACTCAAAATGACAAAGCAATGTAATAACTAAGTAGCAAATAAAGCTAAATGAGTAGGAAACAAATAACTGTGAGAATTGCGTCGGGTTCTATATTAAAAAGAAGAGTAGTTTTTTTCCTATATCCTTCTTTGCTTTATGTATTGTTGACCAGGAGCTGATTAGGTTACTCATGCCGTAACTTGTCATAAGCAACCATGATTCTCTGTTGAGAAGGAAAGGTGGCTTTGAGTAGGATTTCAGTTAATGAACTATTACTCATTTCTTGCATTCATTTGACCCTTGGATAATTGGATGTATTTTCTATATTACTCTCACTATAATGTCTCAGAAAATTCATCAGTTGCCCTAGTTTGACGCAACAGGAGAAAGTCATGCTTGTTGATGAAGGAAAGACTTGTATTAAATTATCTTCACCGCTTTAGGATTTGTTATCATGATAGCCCTGCTAGAGAGGATTTCTGCTTCATTTTGCTGAGTGATTATTTTTACCTGAGTCAGAGGAACTAGGGTTGAACAAGTACTTAATGATAGCATGGTATCCTGTTCTTGGAAGGATGCCTATTCTTATAATATAGTGGAGAATGTATCTTTAGCCCTAGTGGCACTGATAGTTTGTCTCCACACCCCCTTGTCAAAAACCAACCCACAATGTTCTTGGAAATTTTTTTTTTGATAACCGTGAATGTCCAGGTCAGCTTGCGGGCACCTCAACTAATTTCACGGTGCCCTGAAGTTTACGACCGGGTACTCACCTCAGTGGCCCTGAGGGGAGTCGAACTGGTGATCATTGGGGAACAAACTCAAAGCCTGACCAATTGAACAATCCCTCAGGGTTATTGTTCTTGGAATTTTATTATCGCCAAGTGTTTTACTCCTCCACAATGGTGCAAAATTTGTTCTATGTTAGGGAAGCAATTAGTTGGGGTTTATATTTCTCTTACTCTGTACATATATAATAAATACAAAAAACTTCACCGCCTTTTGGATTGTGTTTGTGACGACCATCTGTATTCTTGTTTAGTTGCCCACAATGCAAAACCAGATACTATCAACTCAGTGCGACTAAGCATTATTAATTATTTCTTTCTGATGCCTCGTTTAACTTTATTAGGATTTTTAGCCTGACTAAATCTCTCTCTCATGCATGCATGTGGGATTGGGGGAATTAGAGAAGAGGTAACGTCAAAAACATTATCTTTTTTCGCTATTTGTTCATGTACAAAGTAGAGAACTGGGAGCATGAAACATTTTCTTTTTTTCGCTATTTGTTCATGTACAAAGTGGTTGCTGTTGGTTATTTGCTGCTTTTTGAAGTTCTTGTTTTCCTCCTGATGTAGATTGTTCCAACTGAATACAAATATATCTCCAAAGAAGTTTTACCTACAAATCAGTTTTCTGTCACCGAGTATTTTTCTCCTATCAACGAGTTCGATAGAAAGTGGCCTGGTTAGTATAAAGCTTGTTCACTTTGGGGCTCTATTTCCCATTTACCCTTCATTAGTTTATATTTCTTCCTATTTCTATTCTAAATTTTTGCGAGGAATGATTGTTTTATTTCAATGCAGCTGTATACTTTTTATATGATTTTTCACCAATTACTGTGACCATCAGAGAAGAACGTCGCAGTTTTCTCCACTTCATCACCCGGCTATGTGCCGTATTGGGTGGTACATTTGCCTTAACAGGTTTGTCTTCGCCTATTTCCCCCATTTTTGGCAGTGGACAAGTTCATGTAGTTAACGAAATGAGAATCTGGATATGTGGCTTTATCACTTTTAGTTTAGGAGCTGCCAAAACTCGCTAAACCACCAAATATTCTCCTTGGAACAGGCAACAAGGCAAATTCATCTTTTTGTCCACACCCCTATGGTAGTTAAAGTGTAGTCTTCTATTTGTAGTAGATCTATTTCTCTTCTTCCCGCTTGGCGCATTTGTCATATATTAGTTCTACGAACTTTGAACCTGAAGTTTCAGCCCTATTGATGCTGCGTACATGCTCAAGTAGCTTGATGTGATTCATGAAAATGAAGAACCTAGAGGATTGATTGTGTAGAGTTATTTCTAGTAGCTCTTGCTACTAAAAAACATATCAATTCCTTTCCTGTTCCACTTGTATTTGACTCTGCACGTTGGTAATTTTACTCCCTATATCGTTTCTTGCTTGGTCCCTTCTAGGCATGGATTGAATGGGTTTTCTAACCCAAAATAACTGTTGAATTCTTGATATTTGAAGAGGTAATCCCACAGGCAATCGTAGGACACCTCATCATTGACCTATTTCCTTAGCTTCTAAAGTATTTCATATGCATCTTCAAGATTAAAATGACTGAACAATAATCATCCGACTTTGGCAATTCTCGTGAGTTGCTCATCTGCTTCGTAGGTGCCAATCAAACTGATAAAGTTATAGAATGTGTGGTGTGTACTCTTGGAACACTATGGTCCTGTTGATGCAAACTAAAATCCATTCATATAAAGCTATCAGACAATCAGTCGGCAAACATTGCTTTCACAATTTTAACTTAATCAAGTCCCAAGTGTTTATATTATCTTTCCCATATATAGTTATCTCCTCTTTCAATCTTCTACTACTATTGTGGCAGAGGTCCTTTTAGTTTCAGCCTTTCAAAGAATACTTTTAGTCCTTCCAATATCGATGTTCATTTGAAACAATTCTCCAAGGTTGCTTCCCAATCAAGGAAACCTCTGCATGCTTATTCTTCCATGGGAATTTGAAACTTCAATACAAACTCCAGATCGAGATCTGTAGTTCTTACTAACCGCTTATCTAATTTACTGTACTCGGGATTAGCACAAGCTACAGTATTGCTCTATTCAAGTTTTCCATCTAATGTAAGTTTCTCTGTTCTTTTCTTCTGTCACTCTGGACGAGCTTGAGTCAATTTAGGAATTCTTGGTCATATTGCAACCATGATAAAATAGGATTGATGGGTCCTCTGATACTGATACCAAAATTGATCTGGAACCTTTAACCAACAAAATAATAAAAGAGATTGAAAGAACTGCACATATTGACAGAGGTCAAAGTAAACACCAGAGATGTACTGCTATGGGCTTAAATCTCAACAAACCTGAATTTCCTGGACATTCAGCCTATTTATTTTTGTTTGGACATTCAGCCTATTTATAAGCTATTCAAACCTTAGACTCTAAAACGCTCTCTGACTGGGAAGGCTAAAATTTCTAGGAAAACATAATCCTAATTCTAGAAATCTAAAGAAATACTAGCTAGAGTTCCAATAAAACTTTTTAAAGTCTTATTAATAATAATATACTAGTCTGAGAGGGATTTGGAACAATTAATCTAGCTCACGCTTCAATATTGAATTTTGATGGTATCTTAAAGTGCACAATTAGGTTAACTGTTGCAAATTATTAAACTTTGAACTTGATTTATGCTCTCAAGGTTTATCAACTTGTTTATTTTTTTGAATGAGAGATGTTATTTCTTAAAGACAAAATTAAGCTTAAAATTTCAGTGCAAAATTGAGCTTTTGAAAGGTTTATCTTACAAGAAACATCATCATTTGCTTCCTTTCTGCTAAATTATTGTATGAAGTAAATGTCACAGCTCTGAGTTCTCCCTTATTCATGCTTAGAGTAGTCTTTACACTCCAAAATGATGGACTATAGAACTTATTGAGTAAAAAGATGCGAGAAATGAGAAAAGTGGGTTTAATCCTATTAGATTGAGGGAAAAGGACCTCGAAAATAGTCTTTCTTCTCTTCCCTTCTCCCCTTCTCATATGATTCTTCTACAATTATAACATTTGTCACGGGTGTACTGTATCAGGAAACTGCCCAGTACATGGTGTATTATACAGAATGCTAAAAGTAAACTGGAGTGTTAAACGGTAATAAAAAGTAACGGGCTTTCATCTTCTCTATTTCTCGTGTGTGTAGGATAAGCTGCTCAGATCCTGATTCTAACAACCTTCAAGTGCAAATTTGTGAGCATGAATTTACCATATGTAAATTTGTGTATGCATCTTTGTAGAATCTACACTCGTGTTCCTTAGAATTTGCAAACTTGTAAAATTTGAAAGTATAATGTATGCACTGGAGTTCATCGTCCCATGATATTGAAGAATGCCTTGACATAATAGAACTCATCTGGAAATGCATTAAACAAAACGTCTTATCTTTCCTTCTTCCCCTTTTGGGTTCGGTGTAGGGCTTCAAATCTAGAAGAGTTGTATGATTTTCAATTGTTAAACTTATTCCTCAAAATATCTACTTGCAGGAATGCTAGATAGATGGATGTACAGGTTTATCGAAGCTGTGACAAAACCAAACACTAGCAGTATTTTGCGGTGACTTTGGGGCCCTGAAATTGCACGTGCGATGATGAAACAATTTCAGAATGCTGTGACTGCGATTTTCAACAATGGACACAAAATTCATAGTTGTCGGGGGAAGTTCAAATGTTTAAAGTGGAGACATGTATTTTTATTTTGTAGTTTCTTCTTTCGTCTCAAGTTTTAAAATTGAATGTATTTTGACATCATCAATTTTTGCATTCATTTGGAACATACAAGTTTTTCATTTTTTTTTTTCTTTTTCTTTTTCAAATTTCTTATATTCTTTTGGAAGGTGATGGCTCGTCTTGGAAGTAAGTCGAGATGGGTTTTTGTATGTGCAAGCCACTCAATTTGCACAGGCCAGCTCGTCGGCTCACATTGGCCCGTCCGGAGCCAGGACACAGAAACAAAATGAATTTTTTAACCCAAAAGGTAAAAATTGTGCGAGAAGCTCGTGGGCTGGAATGGCTCACCTATCCCAAGGGTGAACTGATGGAGCGAGTTGAGTCGAAGTATTTTTAAGTGAGCTAGTTTGTACTCAGCTCGCCCCATTTGAAAGCACAAGTTAACTCGACAAGTAGATCAAGTCGGGCTCGACAGTGGACGAGCCGAGTCGAGTGGCTTGAAATTCTTGGCAACATTTGGTGGGAGCTCATGGCATATGATACTCTTGGTATTTCCTTGCGTTCTCTTTATGACTAGTTATATTGATGAATTAAATTAAACTGATCCAATTGTTCGTATGTTAGTAGAGTGAACGTTGCATAACTAATTTTATCTTAATGATGTATCGAATATTTTTATAACAAAATAATATTTGTTGTTGAAATATATTTCGCAAACCTCGCCCAATACTGGCAAGTGGGATCCCTATGCGAAGGAGTTTCGAAAGGCTCGCATCAAGTAAGATGAATTTTTTTCCATCCTTTAAGTTGTTAATAAAATAACACGTGGATCAACGAATAAAACGAGATACTCTTTAACGGAATCGATTACAATTTAGCCAATAAGTGGTCGTCATCTATCGCTTTCCCTAAATGATCAAAATACTCCTAATCTTGGAGGAAAATTTATAAATACCTGCATCTTTTTAAGGGAGAGGCATGCAATTAAAATATTTTCTTCTAAAATAGTTATTTCCCCTTTTGCTCTAAGTTTGAGCAATGAAACAAGCAAGTTTAGGAGGGCAAATCATAATAGGTGAGAGAATTTGTTAATTCAATTTTTACCATCAACAAATTAGCACTGTCTGTGGGAACTTGAGCAAAGTAAACCACAAAATTCTACACTTAATCAAGAAAAACTTGAGATCTAAAGAAACGAATCAAGCAAAGGAAGGCATCGTATCAGTCGGAGTGCTGAATAATAAGAATCAGGAGATCGATAACGCTCTAACCAATGTAGAGGCAACCTCAACAATGAAGGCCATCTGGGATGAAGAAGGATTTCAAAGCGCTGATAATGGAACATAGTTCTTCGTGTGCAAAGATACAACAGCTGGAAAATAAGTATACTAAAAAGGTAAGCACACAAGTAATCTACAATCATTGAATTCTTCAATTAAATCTGTCGAAATTTGGGGCCTCCAATCGACCAAAACCGGGCTCAGATTAAACCAAACGAACCACCACTATGTCAACCAAGCTCCTCCAAGCTGACACCAACCCAAAACCGATTGCTCCCAAGCCAATCAGCCCACATAGGACTTGGTGTGAAGAAGGAGGCCTATTTTCAGCCACCAAGGCAAGAAGAGAAAGGGAGGAGAAGAACTACCAAGAAGCACAAAGCAAGGGGTCGGTATCTATCTTCTCACTCAACTCACGGCTCCTTCCTTTCTTCCACACACTTCACACACAAGAAAAAAGGTAGCACAAATAGGACGACTGAT